AAGAAAAAAGTAAAAGAAAACTATCAATTAATAAGTTAAATTATGATTCTAATTTATATTCAGATGACTCAGATTATACTCACAAAAGAAAAAAAGGCAAATATATAGAAGAACCTAAACAAATTGAACAAGAAAATAATAATTTTGATTAAGAACAAATTGAAATTCATCAAGATATTATTAATCAACAACAGTTTGAAATTCAACAAAATTATCAAAAATTATTTGATAAAAAGAAATCTAATAATACAAAAGATGATGATTTTAATTACAATAAAGATTTTAAATTAAATATAGCAGATAAAACAAGAGATGAAGAATTCAAAAGAACAAACAGAAATAATTCTCTTTATTTAGAATTCTTATGTGTAATTCAAAAGTTATAAATTATTTTATTATATAGTTATTTTTTTGATATTAAAAATATTTATAAATAGCAAATAAATAATTTTTTTATTAATAAAATATGTCAATTTCTAAAATAAATATAATACAAGAAATATTATTTAATGAAAAAAAATGTATTGAATTTCTATTAAAAAACTAACTTATTAATAAACAACCAAATAGTTGTTCAAAATGTAATAATACAAAATTTTACTATTGATATAATTTATGAATATGTAAAAACACAAATTGTAACAAGACAATTTCAATATATCATAATTCATTCTTTAGTAAAAGATGTTTAAAAAGCAACCAGATCTTATTACTTAGTTATTTTTAGATCACAAAAGCAAGATATACAACACTTAGACATTTAACAAGATTATCATCCAAATTGATTAAAAAATATACAAAAATATTCTGTGATTTAATAATAAACATATTAACAGTTAATGATAGCAGGCTAGAAGAAGAACATAAAATTGTAGAAATAGATAAATCTAAATTTAAAAAAGATATTTCATGGTGGGTTGTAGGATTAACCAAAAAAAAATCTAACAAATATTATTTTGAAGTTGTACAAGACAGAAATACAAATACTCTTACAAAAATTATAAAAAACATGTTATTCCAGAAACAAAAATCTATTCAGATAGTTGGTGTAGCTATCAAGGATTAGAAAAATTAAAAATGAAACATATTTATGTAAATTATTCAAAACAATTAACTCAAAGACAAAGATTAAGAAAAATTCATAGCAATACAATTAAAGGTAAATAACAATTTTAATTTTATTAATTTAAATATAAAATATATTAATAATTTATTAATAAATTAGGTCTTTGGAATAGAATAAAATTAAATATTTTAATAAGAGATCAAAATTTTAATACAATTACTCCATATCTTCAAGAATTCGTATAGTATCAAAAAAACAAGAACAGATTGTGAGAAGCATTTTTAGAAGCAATCAAATCTTATAAAAATAATTCTTAAAAATATATAAATATTTAATAATTCTTGAAATTTTTATTTTAAATCTCTTAAAAATGCTACCAATTTTGAAAAAATCGAATCACACTTTGAAAACTCGCTGTTTTAATTGTTGAGATCAAAATATCAGCTGTAAAAAGAGTATTAAAAATTTAAATATTTGTCAACAATATTTTAAAAAAAATTTGGATTATATTTTTGTTAAGCCAAATAAATATGAAGATGAAATTAAAAGACTAAATTCTGTTGTAAAAGACTATGAAACCAGAATCTTATCTTTAGAAAAACGAGTTTTTAA